GTGGATCACCTGAGGTCAGGAGCTGAAGACTAGCCTGGCCAACATGGTGAAATCCTGTGTCTACTAAAAATACAAAATTAGCCAGGTGTGGTGGCAAACAGGTGGATCACCTGAGGTCAGGAGCTGAAGACTAGCCTGGCCAACATGGTGAAATCCTGTGTCTACTAAAAATACAAAATTAGCCAGGCGTGGTGGCGCATCCATGTAATCCCAGCTACTTGGCAGGAGAATTGCTTGAACCTGAGAGGTAGAGGTTGCAGTGAGCCAAGAGCACACCATTGCACGCCAGCCTGGGCAACAAGAGTGAAACTCCGAGTCTCAAAGAAAAAAAAAGATAAATCACTTCTCACTATCTTGGGTACTTCCAACCTGTCCAAGCCACCCTCATCTCTTACCTAAATTGTTTTGAGAGCTTCCTTGCCCTTGACTCCTATAATCTATTTTCAACACAGCAGCTCAAATGAACATTTTAAACCTAAACTGGATTATCACTTCCCAAAACTTTCCAATAGTGTCTGTTGCATTAACTCAGTCTTTACACAAGGTCCTGCTGTATTTGGCTTTCCATTGCCTCTCTAACCTCATATCCTGCTACTCTCCCCTCTCCATCATCCTTTCCCCACTCATTCCTATACTAGCTACACTGGCTTCCTTGCTATTTCTCAAACATACCAGCATATTCTCACCTCTGAACCTTTGATGTCTCACATTTCCTAAAATGATCTTATCTCAGTTATTCCCATGAGTTGCTGTCACCTCCTTCAGGTCTTCCCTAAAGGTCATGAGACTTCTAGTCTTGAAGCCTTCCCTAGCCACCTTTTTTCCAGTTTTCCAGTTACACACACACACACACACACCTATCCCCTATTCCCCGCTTTGGTCTCCAAAGTGCTTATTATAGCCAGGTACAGTGGCTCACATCTGTAATTTTTAAAAAATTAAAAGTGCTTATCACCATCTAACATACTATATCTTAGTTATTTGTAAATTCTTTAAAGGCAGAATGCTTGGTTACTGCCATATTCCTATTAGTAAACAGACCACAGCGCTTAGTAGAATGTCTTTTCTTTTTTTTCCCCTTTTTTTGTTTCCCCTCAACTGGGTATAGATCTGTAGCCCAGCAGGAGTGCAGTGGTGCAATCAGGGCTCACTGCAGCCTCAAACTGC